CAACACGCCATCAGATAGGTTTCACTTAAACCTTTATGATAAACAACACGCCATCAGCTGAATTTTACTAAAAACGTTATGATAAACAACACGCCATCAGCTAGATTTCATTAAAGACTATATTAAAAACATCATACCATCAGCTGGGTTTCACTAAAACCTTTGTTTAAAACGACACGCCATCAGCTGGGTTTCACTAAAACCTTTATGAAAAACAACACGCCATTAGATAAGTTTCACTTAAACCATATGAAAAACAACATTCCATCAGCTGGGTTTCACTAAAACCTTTATTAAAAATAACAGCCATCACCTGGATTTTACTAAAACCGTTATTAAAGAACACACCATCAGCTGGTTTTCACTAAAACCTGTATTAAAAACAACACGCCATCAGCTGATCTTATTCCACCATCTACATTCCCAGTAGTTGTCTTATCCCATAATTCCATGTTATGCTTGATCTTCCTCTGTTTTCCTCAGCTCTTCCTTTCACGATGTTTTTTCCACAGGAAGGTCCCTTCTCTTCATACGATGTTCCCAAAATATGACAATTTTATCTTGGTAATATCTTCCAACAATCTTCTGTCACATCCTGTTTTTCCAGAACCCATTTATTCCTTCTATGATATTCTCGGCATCCCCAATATAATCTTGCAATTCAAAGACTTTTACATATTCTCGCAGCCAATGGTTCAGAGGGTTTTGATATCCGCGGTGGGTAGGGTACAGATAGTTCCTTGTGTAGCTTTGTGTTTAACAATAAACAAACATATACATACATTTTTTTTCATCACTCTTCACGACCATAAGCTGCTATGAAAAAGAACAGAATAAAATCAAACTCCTCTCGAGTGATTAGTCTGCAAAAACGCACTCCGCACTTTGGTATCGTCGTTACGCTATAAGAGTGACTGTCAAATCCCATTATACGGTCATATAAGAATAACCCAAAGGTTGGTGGTGGGTGCTGTCAACTAGCTGCCTTCCATCTCGTCCATCAGTTCAAAATTAGCAACGGCTAGCGCATATAATATTCCTTGTGTAGCTTTGCTCGAATCTCCGAAAAAAACAAACAAACACGTTTCTTGTCTTAGTTAGTTTGTTTGTTTGTTATTTAGCACAAAGCTACACAATCGACTATCTATGCTTTGCCCACAACGGGTATCGAAACCCGAATTCTAGCGTTGTAAGTCCGCAGACATACCCGCTGTGCTACTGGGGGCGCTGTAGTAGTTTATGAATAATTATCGGTGGAATTATAAATTTCAAAAAGAGATGAAAAACTGGTCGGAATATTTTTTTTTTTAAATTCATCAATTCTTTTAGATTTATTCAAGGGGTGTTGTAGTAAATTGTCTTGAATAGCATCAGTAAAATGTACCCCTAGATGTTTGAAGAAAAATATTAGTGATTCAACCCTTAAAAAAAACATGCCTTAACTAAATTAATCATGCTTAAAAGTAACGTTTTCGTTATGCCTGAAAGATAACATCTGTCTGTTTAATTTTTATGTACAAATTTGAATCAACTTTCATTACTCATCCTGGTAGATATTTTGTTCAAGATTAGTTAAGCAATTAATATTCTAGTCTCTTCGAAACGTTTGGATCTTCCTCACCCATTCCGAATATATTCGTTTAGTTTATTTGTTCGTTAGAGCGCAAAGCTACGCAATTGGCTATCTGCGATCTGTCCACCGCGTGGAATAAACCCCTGATTTTAGCAATGTAAATCCATAAACTGATCCACCGGGGAACGGATTCGGTGTATTGAAAGCAATCTTAACAGACGCTTATTTGAAAAGCTATAGTCTGTGTTTTGTTCTTATTACATCTGTGACCATGCGCATTATATATTAGATTTTGCACACTTGTCATCAACTGTCACACTACAAAAACAACTAACAGTCTGATAAAGGAAAATAAGAAAGTTTTAAGCATACGTGTCTTTTAAGTAAAACAATAATATATTTAGTAAGTTCTTCATCAATGATTTGGTACGATATTTGTTTATCTCCTGCTAATTTCCTCGAATACAAGCTTAGATATGAAGTTTTTGGAACTATAAGTGTGAAAATCAGTCACACCTGCAACATTCCCAATGAAAGCCATCCTATATAATGTTGTGTTGTCATGGTGATAGAGATACTATGACGTCACTGAGGATCACTAACTTTCACCTGTTACACTTTATATTCATTCCCCTTAAAAAGGAAGGTTTACGTTCCGAAAGCAATTGTATTATCTTTTCTCATTTTGTAAGCCAAATATTACTTATTTACTTTCTTGTAATGTATAAAGTCATAATTAACGACCAGTTAGAAAACGACGAATGTACCAGAATGTATTAATCCTTATTTTATAGTTACCATAGCGTTAAGTACAAAATGAAACACATACATAAGGTTTGACACATACAGTTAGACAGAACTGACAACTTTTAGAGATTTGTTTGAGTGAGAATTTTGAAAGAGTCAAATTTTATCGTGCAGTTAATTTTTCGTTCGATGAAATAAAATGATGCAGCATTTCCAGGATCAACGTGATGCTGAATTTGAGTTTCATCAAGTCGGTAAACCAGCCACAATATGTCATAAAAAGTTGTTAATTTGACCAAAACGGGAGATTGTTATTCGCTAATGCATGTGAATGTGAGAATAGGCCCAGAGGTATGAGTGTTAATAGCTTTGAATTAGATGTCTGTTATTACTAACTCAATATAAAAGTTTCATGATTTAGCAATGAAGAAACATTATTTAACATGTGGAATGTAGAGGCACAGTGGAATGTCTGCGGAGTTACAACGCTAGAAACCGGGTTTCGATACCCGTGTGGGCAGATCACAGATAGCCCATTGTGTAACTTTGTGCTTATCTTCAAACAAACAAAATTTAACGTGTTACGTCATCAAACTTAACACTAAGAACAGAAGACACTCAAATATGTGGAAGTTTAAAGAAAAATTACAAAACTCAGTGTTGTATGATTTATCGTTGACTTTAAGGAGGTTAAAATAGAACTTACAACAATCTACTGTGTATTATACGATGCATGAATTATCAGTGACGTAATAGACGTTAAAGATAAGACTTTTCATATAAAATGGAACTTTATATCATACAATATAACAATTACCAATTGATTCACCGCGGTTGAAAATAAAGCATGTGAAAACCAACTTTATGTTCTACAAAGAAGAAATAAGTAATGTTTTATGGAGGTTAAAACTAAAAAATGTAATTTAATAATTATTATACTTAATAACAGACGACAGATTTGAAATTTTTCTATTTAACTTCTTTATTCGGTTAACGTTTAGTGGTCAGTCGTAAATGCTTAAAGACTTAAAAACAGTTAGTCTGTCAAATAAAATTAGAATAACAGCGATAATAATTTGATAACATATATTAGCCAGGCTAAGCCTAACGTTATTGTCAACCATTTTGAATGTCTAAAATACTCAGTCGAACATAAAACCATGATGAAATAAAACGAATATATTTAACATGAGGGACTACATTTTGACACTAATATAGATTACTTTGTTGAGTAATGTATAAAGTCTATTCAAATTGCGTTCAATAAAAAAAATCTGTGTTCTATTAAGAGATCATCTATTTAATGAAAATTTACATTTGCTTTTACATTGAGGAAAATACGAAGCTATTAGGTTTGTTTTGAATTTCGCGCAAAGCTACACGAGGGC